TATATATATATATGACGATGTATTTACGCAATGTGAACTTAGTAGCGAATATAGAAGTTGTATATTGTAAGAGTATTTAGGTAGACTGTAATGAATTAATTCTGTCAGCAGGAAGCTCTAGATACAACGAAACGAAGGTAGGGCTCTATGCAAGAAATCGAATGCAAAAATTGTGACACCGCAATTCCATGTGAGCTTGCAATGCGCATTATTTACGATATTCAATAAATGATTGAAGCGGTAAAATTGGTTTCGTTAGAGAAGTGTCATAATAGAGGAACTCTAGAAATAAGCATAAGACCAATGCAAATTACTGGACATTTTTCAAAAATTATTAAGAATTACTTGCAAGTCGGCAGTTATTGTTCAAAGAATAGCTGTAACGTAAGCTAAATGTAATACGTCTATATAAAATAAATGGTACAAATTATCTCTAATTTGACACAAACGAGTGTTATTGCCCCTCTCATTAATGTTATAATTGTTTGTACGTGCATGCCTCTGTAAACTATCGATTATAGTTTCTATTGTGGTTAAGGCAGAGAATACTTGTTTTTTTGTGCACAGTCTCTAGATTTGAAAAAACGGGAAGGATTCTAGAAAACGTATTCACAGTATACGATATGTTTCGCTATAATTAGGCTTCGTTACTTATATTGTACTATATTAATCATATTAGTTATATGCCGCTATGTATAGTTCATAGCTAGGTTGCCGAAACTACTCATATTAAAATTCGAATTTTTCTGCCAAGGGATGAATGAAAGTGATAGTCGGCATCAGCAGTTCTTTAGCATCTATCACAATACGATTTTTACAATACGACGAAAGTCATTTTCCTCCAGCGAGGAGTGCAGTTTGCTTAATATGATGCTTGCGTGTATATATATGGCTATTTCCATTATTTGTTGATTTTTTAGCATATGTAACTTATATCAACAATGATTATATCTACCGCGCTAAATGTTCTACATTTAGTACGGCCATCAGAGGGCGATCCGTAACTGTGCGACCAGGCTAAAATTAGGTTGATATTAAATAAAATAATCATTCATTCTTGCATGTGTCAAGTTGTCTTTTTTTAATTATCAATAAGTAACAGCGACAGCCGTTACGATAATTATATTTTAGATGACTACTGTTTTAAATGTTCGCAAATTCATTTGTTCCTGCTAAATGAGTTTGCTAATTTTTGGTGAAGTAATTTGGCGTAGATTATCACTTTACAAATCATTTACATATATCCTATCTTTTTGTAGGAAACGATGTCTATCGACGTGGATCTTCATAACGATGGATGATCAACTATTAGTCCAGATGTACGATAAATAAAGCTGCCCATGAACTTGTACGCTTACCACTGGTTTTCTATGAATTCTATTCATACTGTTGATTTGAAGCACTGACTAGGAGACTCAAAGTTAATACGAACAGCCATTTGCACGAGTAAGCCAATTTATATTATAGAATATTTATACATTTTCAATACAATGTTCGATGACACTTGTCTTGTATGTGCCTTTTGCTGTCGAGAGTCGTTAGGAGTCATTGAGGAATAGCGCAATGGCTTGGGTAGTGATTTTCTACGAGGCCCAAGATAGCTCATCTGAACAGCGTCGTTGTCCTAAAAGTAGCAAAAAAATAGGCAATTGCTGTATGTAGCCCAATTCTTTGTTCTCGAAACTCTACCGGTAGTATAATCAAGATTCCGCTGACAATCTCTTACTTTAGTTTTTGTTAAAGGTGATTAGTTAAGGTTTTTGTGAATTCTAGAAATCTCTACCTGTGAACCTCGCTAAGACTATATATATATATATATATAAATATTGAGTGTATATATGCACCCAAACACATTAATTTGGAGTTCCGAAAATCACAGGTCTTTGTCCAAGGTAAAATTATATTCCTCGGTTATATTTTATAATTACTTAGGGAAACATCATAAATAGACACGTTACCTAAGCAGGCCTACTGTAAGAGTAGGTCCACAGTCCGGTGATACGCCTTGTACGATATATAAAGTGATTGAGTTCAATTTATTTTTAAATGAAATGGAGATAGAACTCCCTGCCTTCATATATGGACTTCATTACCGCATGAATCGTTTATCTTATCTTTACGACCACTTCAACCGAATCCATAATCCGTAAGTAGTTAGTTCTCCTATAGAAAACTACAATTCAAGTGTTGTTAATCCTAATTTACCGAGAGAAAAATATTCTCGATATAACTTCAGCTAGTGAAATCGATTATTGATGTCTCTTTTGTTTGTACTCGCATAATGTCCAGTTGTGCGTACTATCCATACAGGACCACATATCAAGTCATCATTTTGCCGACCGAGAAATGGACAAATAATTTCCCTTAGTCAATCAGTCGATAATTGTTGGCGCCAATTGGAATACACCATAATCTCTGCTACTACTATGCGTATATCCAGCACCGTAGTATGTACGCGCGTGGAGGGCCATTTTAGCTAGTGCGATCAAAGAGGCATTCTAACTTCCGCTCAGTGCCTATTTAGGAGAGCTGTAAAAATCTAAAGATGCCTAAGTGATTTTTATCGTTTCAGCTATTTTTCCAGCAATTTTGCATAGGCATCCTTTTTTCAGCTGTTTAAATTGAATTTCTGACATCGACTACGGCTACTCTGGCACTGGCCTCTCCAACCCGCTACGATACACGAGAGGACCTGACATTCTCTCAATTTACTTAATTTCGTCGATTTCGACTTTATAATTAGTCAGAATAAAAACACTTGCCCAAGGTGTATACAGCAAACCACACTTATAAATAATCTGGCCTGTAAAAAGAGCAACATGTTATAGCGTGTTTATAACGAGAAACTTGTTCGCTGCCATTATTCGCATGAACAACGGTAGCGACGAAAGCAGAACGGACACGCAAAAAACGCATACGTAGACAAGCGGCTACGTTATTGTGTGGGTTGATACTGACGTCGTCGTCTGTCACGTCGTTTCCAATAAGCCATAACCATTTCGATGACCATGTTAGTCAAATGATATGATCAAACAGACCGATGTGATAAAGAATGCCTTTTACTAAATTGGGTGCATGAAATCTTCTGTTGAATTAGCAGAGAGCAGTTTTCAACTGTACAGAGTTTTGATGATTCCTGGGTCGGTTCATGCGAAAACTTCTGTTTGATAAATATTAGTTGGCTCTTTATCGGAGATTGTATTCTTCTATGTAGGCCTTTTATTGTAGTGAAAAATGGTTGCACCCCCAGTACAGTACCCTGTACGGTCATCCGATTATTATCTGCTGTACTTTTTTTCGCAAGGGAAGTCCAGGAACGCGTACTCAGCATGAAGAACATCTTTGGATAAGTAAAATTAGACAAAATACATTTCTTTTTAGAAAAAAAGCCGGACCGTTGCTACTAGCTTGATTGGAACAGCTCACACTTTCTAGTTGTACTTACATTTCGATTTTCAATAGTCATATCGTATTACTAGTTGTAAGAAAATAAATGTAAAACGATGGAAATGTTTTTTTGTTTGTCACTCTCAACCCAGGAGCTTATATTAACCTTCGTTGCTAACTTCTAACTTGACACTGTCCCAGTTATTTTGGATTTTTTAATAACTTAGTAAATAAACAAACGTTGTTTGCTGGGGAAGCTATGTCATTATATTTATATTATATACCTACATACGAAGTCCTTTATTTAATTGTCATTAAATTTTATTTTTATAAGTGTATCCTTAAAAAAAAATCATCCTCATAATAGAGATACAACGTGAGTACCAGTACCGGTTAACATATTCTTGTAATTACAGGCGATATATGTTTATATTTATAGATGGTAGCATTTCTTGGTAACAACGAGTAATTTCGGTAGCGGTCGCGTCGGCGTAACTTCAAACTCGACGGTGCGCCTGCAAATTGCTGATCACGTAGTGGTAACTTTATTTGAAAACAGCGCCGTTGGCTACCAGTTACAGCAGAGGAAGATTTGTATTATTTGACTTGCCGGTTGTGTAAGTAAAGTGAATAAAGTTAAATAAGCTTTCTATCCGATTTTACTTTTTTAGTCTCTCTCTCTCTCTCTCTCTCTCTCTTAGTAAATTAGAGCTTAATCGCTTCTTGCCTAGTCAAAGCAGATCTTGCTTTATACGCAATATTTAAGTAATCTCTCTTATTTTTACGCTAGCGCGGTTACATTAATGCGGTAAGTGTTAGTCACATAATATAAACGGTTCGTTTATTAACAAAATATAATTTAACTCAAACGGGATGGCCACGCTTACTTCTGTAGCAGCCCATATACCTATATCTTTGATGTGACGATCCAACTAAAGTAATATTGAAGCCTACCATCTAGAACCAGGCTACAGTCAACAGCACCTATCTGTCTACAGAAGTAAGTATCAAATGGATTATTTTTTGCCCACTACAGAAATTCGATCACGTATGGTAATTGTTTTCGGTAGGATTTTTTGACGATGAATACTTGTTTTACAAATATTTTCTTCTTCTAATGTATGAGGACCACTAATCGATAAATACAGCAGGTCTTGGAGTCGCGCTGCTGTTACAGAGTTACCTTCGGAAGGCATGTGGCTGCGGTGTTGGATCTATGTTATGCTCCAGAAGCGTCGGTCGCGTTCCAGTAGATGGCGCTGTTTACTGTTATTAGAACACTAGATCTGGAACAGCTGATCATCAGAATCTGTATATTCTGTGAGCGATGTTTACGCTATGCCGTGACATGGGCGAAAGAATGTTATTGTGTAAATAAGTCGCTAAATTATGTCAAATTTTGTTATTTGAAGTGTTTCTGTAGGTAGGCAAAACACTATGTGAACTGTGCCTACTGAAGAATACTGATGAATCACGTGCCTGATTATCACAAAAACTGTGAAATTATTTTAAGAGTGGCTTTAAAGTCAGCAGTCGAGAATATTATCTTGTTTAACTAAAGAATCAGGGTAAACAAGCCATGCATAACTATGCAATATTCTTTTGTTATGTATATCGTTGTAAGAAGCATTTGTGGGAAAACCTACTGAAAAATCTTCGAAATTGAACATTGTAGGGAGCTTCTATATAAACAAGATTAATACATAAGGGTACGTGTTTTATAGGTACAGGTGTTTCTGTTCGGTTTAACCGATTCTATTTGATTTATTATCGTGTCACCTGAAAGGGAGAATCATTTCAACTCATAACTATTATCACGCAGTTTAGACATTAACCGCTAAGCCAGTTTGGAAGAAGTTTCGAAGCGCTGATGCATAGACCGAATCGCTTATACATGATCTTATACAGTTTGACGATGACCTTGTGGGAAAAACGGTACATCGTCTACGTTTTATTTTTTATCAAAAGATTTAAATGTTTTCCTCGAGAACTGTCGAATTTATGACATGACAACTATTTATCATCCTGCTTAACTGGTCCATTTCGCAAAAAATAAAAAATTTTTGAGCTAATAGAGACCTTTAAAAGGACATCGTAGTAGATGTTTTTCTGCTTACTGATGTTGTATCCAATAATCAAAGGGGCGGCAAAGGGTTCACATTTTTTGGTGAACACTATGTTGCCTTCTTTGACAATAATTTCGATAATTCCGTAAAATTCAATTCAACCTTAATGGTTGCTCTTATTATGAGGTTTTTCTTATGAATGTGGCGCTGCAAAACTGCTTAGAGTAAATTAAGCACAGTTTGTTTATTGCCAGTTAGTACATATATGGCAAATTCAGATCTCCAGTTAATTTCTATGACTAATAATTTGTTTTAATTAACGAAATGTTAATTAGCAGTTCGATAGATGAGTTCAATTACGAATACACGACCGGTTGCTGAGAGTAAAAGCTACGAATCCTCGATTGATGAATACTTCGATTTGAAGTTCGTTTCGCCGAATTACGTTTACAATCTAACTACGTATATCTTAGGCAACCGTAAATGTTCAGGGCACGGAACTGTTTGTGGATCGTTACAAGAATGCCTAAACTCTAGAAAAATAGCTAGCGTAGTATGAGTTCAAGGATTTGAAATAAAGGTTAAGGGGTTCTAACCAAGAGTTTCGTCTGAGCATAAAAGCTGGCCACTGCTCTGTAAAATTTATTGCAAGGTAAAAAAATTGTGTGATCTTTGCTGCGAGAGTTTGGCCATTATTGACGTAATGTCTGGTACAATATTTTTTCGACACGTGCCTAAAATTTTGAAAAAAAAGCCTTTTTCACATGTTCTATAGATGCTGTTCATTGAGCTAATTGTATAATTTTATTTCAGAAGCTAAACAGAGCATCGCGAGCTGCGACAAAAATAGTCTGCAGGCCTTTCTATTAAATCATTGACACCGGAACACCGCCTCTTCAGTGATTCACTTCACCAAACGTTTTTGATACAACAACAATATAGATTTCAGCATCTGTTTCAGAATTAGGTAAACAGATGTCACAAAAGCCCCTAAAGTTTCTCACATTAAATTTTGTAAATAAATGTAACATAAAATATACACTTGAATAAAAACTGTGTTGCAAAGTGAATTTTTGTTTGTTTCTTTATTGAAAATATTTATGCTAACCTTACGCATATGACAAAATTACTGTAAATAATTTTCCATAATAATTGTTGGATTGAATTTTACATTATAAGCAATTGATGAAAGCTAAGAATTATAATAATACAAAGTTACTACGTTGCAATTTTTATCAAATGTCTAATCTTCATTTAAACATTTTTTTTGTACAGTTGTTCTCTCTATACCGGCGGCTGAAGCGGACAATCCCGTTGTCGAAGATTTATCCCAGGCTAAACGATTTCGTTGCGAATTCTGCCCTTACAACTCACCTTTCAAGTGCAACCTCGATAAGCATGTCCGACGGCATAAGGGCGAAAAGCCGTATGCGTATGTTTAAAATCAACAACTTATTTAAATTAGTCGAACGCGAAAGTTTACTGTTGACGAATCGCAAACTAAAGCTTGAGGATCATTCACTGCAACGCATGATGATACAATACTTCCAGCAGCATATTAATATTCTTCCGGACTGCCTTTTCTAATCCTTTGACCCTATATATTATACAATGATAATAATAGTAATAAAATACTCTTAACTGAAGTACGAATGTTTCTATGCAGAAGACAATCGTAACAATTATTGTATGTTGGGTTGGTTTGGTTTGACAAAAAAGTGCAATAGCTGGTATGTTTTGCTAAAAATTCTGCTATTCGTAGAAATATAAAGGTCTTTCATGTTAAAGATTAGGAAGTAAATTTTGCGGCGCTTTAGAATATGTAAAATGTCGTCACTTAGTTTTAGTCAAGGTCAACACAACAGACACAAAATATAATTTTTAAGAAAACAAATATATTTCTTTATTTTTCTTTTGTATCGTACAATTGTTCTTCCTTTGGAAGTGATTGAACATTTCTAAAAACTATCAGCATACTTCCTTCTTTGGTTTCTTGATTAGCCTGACATAGCGTTTCGAAGAGTAGTTTTCACTTAAAATGGCTAGATAACGGGCCAACGGAAGTACAACGGGTAGCAATAATAAGGTTAATGCAGCGAATAATTCGAACAACGCCACAAATTCACCTTGTATACTTCATTATATACATGATAATATAGATCTGAACGCGTGTGCTGAAATTAATGACAAATTTAGTCGAAATTTCATTTTGTCCCTTTCCTCGTTTTATTATGGCACATATCTCGTTTTAAATGTATAAAGTTAACCGATACAAAATACTCACTTAATTGACTGGTGCTTCTAGGTGTTCTCAATGCAACTACACAGCAGCCTGTCCGAGTAATTTGTCTGCGCATTTTCGGCGAAGACACGACAAAAGTAATGCTACAGAGATTGTATCGTTGCCTCTCTTGGCCTCTGCAGCTAGGCCTTCTGGTGAGGTACCATCGAGGCATATTGGAAACTTGAGCCACCGCCAACGATTCTTCTCGCCGATCGCGCCCTCTGTTGAGGGACAATCTAGGCCTGTAGAAAGTTTAGAAAATCTCCAGCCATCTTTGAACTCTTGTACTGAAAGTCAGTCGAGGCAAATCGAGAGTTAGGGAATCTTCAACGTCTTCAGCCTCTAGTAAACCTACCTGTTGAAGACCAGTCGAGACACCCGGAGGGTTTCGAGCACTTTCAACGCCTCAGGCTTTCGTACTCGGCTACATTACCTTCGTGTCCTTAAATGGTTCGTTGGCGCTAAATACTGCAGTCGTAGTTGCGCTAAATTTGCCCGACTCGAAACGCGAGGAGATCAATAATCTTGTTAGAAAATCTATAGAAGATATATTCTTAAGCGGTTTTATGCCCGAATTCGGGATTCTGCCGATAAACCACCGCTGATTGAATAACTCTGGAGTTACAGGGCAGCGTATTTATCGTCCTTTGGCTTTGTATATATAGATCTATGTTGGAATAATTACATAAATCTAACGTTAATTATGAATGTTAATTTTAAATCGAAAGACCAATGTCCGCAGTCAAATGTATAATGTAGATCAGGAGAGACAGCTCTGTCCGCAGATCGTATTCACTGTACTCAAATGAAATGAGCTTGCTCAGCACCTTCGTCATATGGATCTACTTTTATAATGAGATAAAAGTATACATACTAAGAGAGGAGCAAATATTCGAAATCGACCTGAAATAACGTAAAGTTAGGTCTTAAGTCAAATACTTCTGGAGTTGTTCCTTGCCTTAAGGAAGAGAGCTTTTTTGACTAAAAAAACGAACAAATCACTGGTTTGTAAAAGTTCAACGCTGCCCGATTTCAAACGATATGTTCCATTGCATCTAATCATCGCATAATATTACCAACAGGCCAGTTTAAGTCCAGTTCTAACTGCTTTTCCATAACCCGAGCTAACAGTGTATTAAAAACGCTGTTTCAATAAAGGAACAACAGAATACAAACGTCTATTCTTTATTTAAAAAAAAAAAGAGGCATATTTGCCCAGCGTCTAATAGTGAAAATAAATAATTTTTTTGCTTTATATACAAATTGGCGTTTGGGACGTTTCACTGGTCTGATAATTATCTAAGGATATTTGCAACGTCACATTGAGGCTTTAAAAAACTATTTATTAGGGCAAATAACAAAAAACAATCAGAATACCGATACGAACGAAGACGCTCCTTCATTAAAGAGAACAAATCGTGATCTTCGATGTGAATATGTCTACTTACATACAAAAGCTTGTTTATTTAGAACTAACGAACGCATATAACGAAATATATGTATATACAATGGGTGCTTTCGCATCAAAATGAATTAATGCAAAAATGACATATCGAACTAATGACAGATAGAAATGTCAGAGTTCGCAACATTCAACAACCATAAGAAAAAAAAACAGTAATCTATTATTATATAAAGGAGCGATATTTTTGTAATTCAATTGTACTTGCATTTTACAAATATTAATATATCCTGCACTTTATGAAGAAATAAAAGCTAACGGTATAACTCTTTCGTAGTTTAGTCCGATGTTCTAGTTGTCAGTATGTTTCATTCTGTGTAAAAAAGTGCAGTATGAGTTGTTTGCTATCAATAAAGGTAATGCTCTAATCCAAACATCTTCTTCCAGATATGCTCACGGTAATTTTCGTTGGTTCTTCGTTGTAGCTTAGTAATTAGCAAATGCGCAGAAGAAACGGTTGAGCGTTCCCCTCACGATTTAAGCGATCCCTCAGCGAGGAAAGCGTGGAATCATTATTGATTAAGTTGAACCAGATAAGACTTTTTGTTCTGGCCTACATTAAATGGTCAAAAAATAGATGCACATGGTTTTTTAGCTTAAAAATAAAGATTATTGAAGAATATAAAAATGTCGATAGATTAATAAACAAAGGTAGTATTAGGTGTGGGCAAACCCGATTAATTTGGCTACCTTGTGCGATTGCGTTTTTCAGTTCTACTTTCGATACCGCCCGTGGATATCCAGAATTTTGAGGATTCGTCGCAGGTGAAGCGGTTTCAGTGCGAACTATGTCCGTACACGACAGCTTTCAAATGTAACCTTGACAAGCACATTCGACGTCACCGTGGCGAAAAGCCTTACGGGTAATATATATAGTAATTGGTTAGTTAGTTGGTAATTAAGTAGTGAAACTTCGCTTGGTAATTAGTTTTATATATAAGGTGTATCTTTAATGCAGTCGATAACTATGATAACACCGTAGGCACACAACTGAATTTTAGCGCCTTCAGTACAATACACTCACCCGCTAAATTCCAAATTAACAATTTTTATCTATTTTATTTGGGTGTTGTCTGCCTATAGATGTACGATTTGCGATTATGCCACCGCTTGCCAGAGCCATCTCGCGGCCCATGTACGAAGCTGTCTACGAAGAAGGGCGATTTCGGTCGATGTCAATTCGACGGCAATGGGACCTGTGTAACTCTACCACTTGAGTCTGTACCGCAAATCCCGAGATCATGGTAGCTGTACGGCCACACATGAAGATCATGGAAAAAGGATATTCATCAACAACTGGCCATCTGCTTACCACTAGTTTATCACTGAACGCATTTGAGAACAATGTTAAAGTCAATTTGACAAGGGGCTTTCTAAATGTCTGCCCACCTCAATAATACGTACAGTCGTTTCTCATTGTCGAGAGAAATATAGTAGAGAATAGAAAATGAGTCAAGTTTTTTGGTCTGTTAGGTTTGAGGTTCTGCTACACGAAATCTATATATAACCTAGTTGACTGTGAGATCATTTATTTGCACTAGTTTTGCGGGTTAGTACAATTTGCCTTTTCTTTCCTGCCCGCCTATTGTTGAGATCCTTATGTATTTTTACTACCGTCATTACGCTGTTGTTTCAGTGAATTCCACGCACAGACGATAGTAGGTCATGAAAATAAAGTGTTAGGTCCTGAATTTGCTACGAATTTCCGTTATTTTAGGAGGCACCTTATTTGTTGATGTCTTTATTATTACTTAAAATATTGTGTTATATTGGATTCTTTTTTCATACAGGAGTTTCTCATTTTAACTTCATAACCATACTTAAACTCACATTGGCTTGAATAGACTACTATGGCCTTATAACATAGTATTTTAACTCTCTATATCATACGCAAATAAATTTTTCCCTATGACGTTCCTTGACATTTTCTTTGAAAACCTTTGATTACGCTACCCGTCAGAATAAAATTTCGAGGAAAGTTCAAGTTACCTGGTTACTTTTTTCGGGACGATTGCATTATATGTACAGTGGGCCCTATCGATGCAACGAAAATACCGGCTACATTAGCTAATTAATCAATCAGCCTATGTTCAAGCACAAAAAAATCATTATGCTGTTGACGCTGATGATGACGACGACTCTCAGTTTCAATTTTGCAAGTTAAAGTTAGAAAAGAGATGTGGAACAATAAATAAACGAACACTTCTCAGTGGCATGTCGACTTTTCTCCTAAATGTAAACCTATGCTTTCCAAGCTGTACATTTAAGCCTGACTCTATATCGAGTCTGTTCTTCCTCTTCACCATTTGAACCAGCTGTTATCTTATGGAGGCTGTCATACACTAAACTGGATTCTGTAGAAGATACGGCCGGATGTATTCTAATTCATACTAGCACCTTTCGATCTCGTATTAATCCATTTTCGATCGCGGGGAATAATCAAGTGATTTTTTGGTATGATTACAGTCGTATAGGTATGGTTACAGGTAGAAGATTCAAGCAGGAGTATACCAATTGGTCTGCCGACGACGCCGTCTGGTATAACCGGTAGTTCCTACCAGTAATTTTTTACCGTATGCGCCGCAAACAGGATATGCATACCTGCGTAGAGGTGGAAGTCTTGTAGATTTTCTGGGGTAGTTTTCCCTAAAAACGTCTTATGATGTCAATCGCTTAAACAGTCAATTGAAATTTATAAGCTTGCTGGTGAAAATGTTAATGGCCACAAATGATCATAGCTCTAACGCTATCGTAGAACACAGTCGGGCACGCGTAACGTGTGATAAATTTGGCTTGCAGTGAAAATGATTTAATTAATTTAATCGAGGGCAGTACATGGACCAGTTACTCAGTAGGAACTTTTCTGACCATGAAAAAAATCCTAAAAAGAAGAAAGACAAACTATTGCCAATAGCGCTAGATTACGTTTGGCAGAACAGAGCCGAGCATCCAATCGCTGTCATCGCTAAAATGGATATTTAAAAGAATACAGAGTCAGCGACGAATTGTCTCGCACGTTCGTTTACTGAATACTTAAAACTACAACGTTGGCTACAACCGTCTAATTCCCACAAAAGTCGTCAAGACATACCAGTTGGGTCCCGGAATAATAGGGTAATGAAGATATCTACAAAAGAGTATTTGGCACATCGCCGGTTGCTTCTACCGGTGGCCTAACCTAAAGCGCTATAGACAACGAAACAACTTTAATCTTTCATTTCCACCTTTATTCCTTTGTTTCATTATTAATCTTGGTCTACAATTTATAATTTAAATTATGTTTAAATCTGAACTGTGTGCTATGAAGCGGAAAGTTACAATGGTAGGGGCAAGATGTTCAAACATGGTCATCTACAACCAAAGATCAGATAAGGATATATTTAATATGTACAGAATATTTGCACGGATAATAATCTAAAGCATGTGAAATACTGTGATACAATATAAAATTACCTAATATTGTGTTGCGGCGTTTTATTAGGAAACTTCCGCTTTTTCGAGGCCATATTACAAGAAAAATGATGAATTGAAATAATTTATCTATAACCGAGTAATAATGCTATATAGACTGCGGCAAGAAGGAATCGTATAGGCACTATGCCTAAGAAATAAGCACTGATACAATGCCCGATACGAAAAAAAGAGTTACAATACCAAATGAAACCTTCCGAAAGGAATAAAATGGCTATAAATGAGGTTCTAATATCGGAAATATTACCTATCAAAATTTCAAGACAAGCTAGATGCAGCCATAGGTTTTTATCGAATATGTATTATAGAATGTTTATAATACACCATCAGTGAGATTACATAGTCCACTGTTGATCTTTGAAAAGTTGAAACAAAATGAGTTTTGTTTCAAATAGTAGCGGATAACGATGTCGAGTATCAGAAGTCTCGTAGTGTTGTACGCAAATCCATCATGCTTAGAGTATCTAGTATATCATTATGCAAACAAGGTACCGGTCGATAAATTTTTGATGGACGCACCAGACATCCCTTTGTCTCATTAGGCATAATGACTTGTAACTTCAGTTCAACTCAATATAACCCAATAAATAGATCTCTACTAATAATTTACAAATGAGAAGTCACCGCAGTGTGCACTATGATTGTTATGACTGTTACAGCTGCAAACCACCCAGTGTTCTTTCATTAGACAACTACGTATAAACTATTCTATAGTTATGCATCTGGTTTCACGTCAATAATCTTTCACAATGTGTTCCCAAAACAATGAGATAAACTCATCGTTCCAAATGTGCTTTATAAATATGAAGAAAAAATCAAACTTTACGAAAAATTCGCGAATTAAGATTAAGAACGAGCAACTAATCTCCTTTTAAACCGCTATGGTTCAAGTATTATAAGAGTATTTTGATAGTAGAACTACATTATAAGCAGCATTACAAAACGCGATTCATCGTTAAATACTAAAGTAAGTAATAATACTCAAGTGACTTAAGAGGAAATATCATGGTAGAAAGAAAGTATCTTGATATAAAAATCTGCAAAGCACGTATAACTTGGGCTTCAACAAAAAAAAAAACAAAGGAAAAACTAAATGATTATGAATTTGAATTGTTCGTGTTTCATTCTTTAATTTTCAACCAAGAAATGAATGGGGCTAGCGAAATCTTAGCGGAACTGGATAAGTAGACCGTTTCTTTACTGGTATATATACTGACAAGTAGTAACAGCGAGAAAAAATCAAATCAAAATACATTGGTGTTTTTTAGGCTTGTTTTTAGTTGATTTTTAATTTGGAAAGTTAGTATCGGGAATAATAATGTAAGGGAATTTGGAAATGATGATGACTAAATAATACATTGGCGCCTCAACGAAGCTATGAATACTTAATCTACTACGGAATTCTAATCGATCAATAAAATAAGATGCTGAGGGATTTGCAGTGATTTAAGCAGCATCTTTGTGTCAAGTTACTAACAAGGTGATGCAACGTTGCCAGCTTCTTGCTGAGTGACATCAATGAAGTGATAAAATTATCGGAAGATTGCTGTGCATTTAGGGAGACTCGCGTGTGTACGTGCACCTAAGTTGTTCTGTACATTAAGCGACGTTAATGATGATCGGACCGCGCAATGAGAGAAACGGCTGGTCTCGACGTAAAGAGCAATATCTGTATTCCGCCGCGTGCTTAGTGCTTGTGGAAAAAACGTCTGCTAACGGTTTTCTTATGTTTCATAGAAGAATAGATGTAAAGAATCATTTTATTAGTTTTTCTTTGTACGGACAGCGGTTAGTGTGCGATTTAGATATTGGCGTATATGATTAGCTAATAAAACGTGTTATTTTGCGGCTCGCTTGCTCGCCTTAGAAGAAGCATACTACGATTATCCATGTTCGTTTAGTCATAATTTGTTTAGGTTAATCTCAAAGTAAGTGTGTGTATTAATGTTAACAGAGGTAACCGTCAGTGGCGAATCCTAACAAGCTCAAATTTAGGTCCAAGCCACGACAAATGTGCAAAATATGTTTAAGTCATTGTTTGCTAAAAAGTAGTTCATCAAAGCTAATAAGTTTACGAAGCCCAAAGTTCTGTTAAATAAAATTTTTATGATATTTAAGAATAGGAACAACATAATTTCCTCTTTGACGTAAAAAAGCGTAATTTCTTTCCTATAACATTAATATAATAGAGAATACCCAAAAGCATTAATTTGAAATATTCTTGCTGTACAAATACTGATTTTATTACAAACGACAGGTTACTGAAGAGTTGGACTGGAATCCGATGTTAGGGAGTGTACAAGGGGCTGTGAAGCTCAAGGACTGATATTGAGAGAATACTTTTATCCGGCAATATATAATGTTGAGTAAGTTAATATATGTATACAAAAAGAGAATCGGCTTTACATGCGCAAAAAATAAAAATGCGAGAAGAATGAAAAGTCCATGCTAACCAGCGTGAATCAATTTCAAACGAAGAGTGTGCTATCGGTAGCTCTGTATTGTAATTTCCAATTTTAGATTCCTGTGGTATCGCCAAGGAAGCGTTGTATGTGCTCTACAATGAGGAAGCTTTGTTTGAGTAAAGCATGCGAAGACGTACTTTCTTTTTAATTACGGATAGGACCTATTAGAAAATAAAACAAACTGACGCTCGCATTTGTTAGGGCTGAGGCTTTGCAAATTCAGTATCCCTGCTGAAAGTCTATGGATTACCTATACTCTATGTGTCAACATGAAGGCTTGGAGCCTCAATCTCCAGTTGAAAGGCTATAGGCTAGTCTAGCCTAGCCCTGTTTCGATCCTCGCCAAAGACACAAATACTGCAGAATTTTCGTGTGAATAAGAAAAGCTACATCTTCTGCGTCATTGAGGACTGTGTATATTGCTGCGGCTATTTTCAATATTGATATCCCTTAAAGATCTGTCCTGAATCTTTGTGCAAAGCTGTAGAATTGCTTTTGGAGAGTGAAGCTCAACGATTATTTCATTAACGCGGTAGGAAGCATATTTTGAGCCGAAGATGAATTCTGATGATTTATATCCTCGCTGTAACGCGTCTGCTTTGTAACATGCCATACTTGCAACTTGACCACCCTATTTCATATTTTCACACGAGTAAGCACCTATTTTTACCACGATTGATAGCATCTATTCTCCTTCTCGGAAAAACAAATTGTTTTAATGAACTTCTGTCAAGTGCAGTGTTGATTTAAATAACCCCTGGTACCCAACGACTGGTAAAAGGAGAAGGAGGGATTGTACTGTTCTAACACACAAATGCTGCTTCACATAGCTGTTTGGTCAGTGGCACATTCAACAACAGAAATAATGTACAGAGCGTGCCCATGATAAAACCTACGAATCTTACCGATCGCGGGTAAGCAGTCAAAAACGGGTTTTGTCTCAAGTTCGTATGCTTGAGGTAAGCTTGTCAGTCAGGTTTTTTTGCTTATTTCAGCAGTTTACATAGAATGTACTATGTTAATACAAGTTGTTCGTATCCTAGTACGATCGTTTCAACGTTATGGATCTCTATCTGTAGTATGTATAGATTCACCCACTTCTAGGATGCGCAATGGAAGTGCACTAGATGAATATAGTAATACGGACCTATTAAACATTAAGTATAACGATTTCTGTTTGTTCGATTAGATTTTGTTGCAATCCTCCGAAAGCTCAGACGATTTATGGACTGACAGCTCTGTCAGTCGTCGTTGCAACCGATGGCATTGGTGCTTGGCGTTTGCACTAGAGCACGTGAAGGCGGCAGCGTCAAACAACGGGCAAACCTGATTTCGTGCCGTGTAAGATAGTTTCGACCGTCCGCTATTGGTCCGTAACTACAATCAGCTAACGTATTATTGGGGCAGGAACATACAAAGCATGAGGAAGAAAATCTACGAGAAGCACGCCCGTCCACAGTCGCTTTTCTCACTGGCAGCATTTTAGCCTGGATTATTTTCAGCAAAATATCCCTGAATGCCCGATATTTATTGTTCCACAAAGAGCTACTGATGCTACAACAGCTCAAGGGGACACTGGGACTTGTCGTCCAATGTGCCCTGACAAAGCAATAGCGTCTAGAACAGCCTACTAATATGCGTACTCACGTCTTTTGGACCATATGCGTAATACTCACTAGAGAATATCAGACCCGTTTACAACAGATATATCTATCTACGAGAGAGTTGTTTTGTGAGTTCATATGGCATGTGATTTTGGCACATCGTGATTCGATCTTATAGCCCTACAAGTGTATCCCAAAGAACGACTGCACAACTTCGCAGAAGTCAAAATAGAGGTCGATGTATACTGTTCCTATTTTCTGTTTGTTCTAACGTGACAACATAGCTAAACTGATAGCTAGATTTCGTTTGTAAAGTACCGTACTGGCACAGTTCAGGAATGCCAAATCGAAGCAGAATCGAGTGCATTATAAAGTAAATATTCTAAAAAACACCACTGCTTAAGTATGTACTCATTGTATTATCATCTAAAATGCAGAGTTTAGAAAAGCAGCTGTATCGACAATTGCCCTGAATATGGAATTCTGGGGCCCTTTGTAGTGTGAGTCACGCCCAGGATAGAAGGATCTCTGACAAAACAAAATAAGAACAGGTGAATTAAGAATACTAATATATAGCCCGTAAACTAAAAAGTAATCCTCTATGTATTAATATCATGCATTAATATATAATATAATGTTTATGGTTGCTGCTTGACTTGCTCCCCCGAAATGGCCTACAAGGAATAATTGCTTTAATCTGAATTTTGTGGGTCGATCGTTTCATCCTGGGCTGTCGTTGTCCTTAATTTTGCTAATCGACGAAATCTTTTTCAATATATACAATTTTGCTAATCTAAAACGAGGCAATCTGTTTTTCAAGCGTTGACAATTCCTTAAATCTTTATTTTGAAAAATTGCATCGTCTTCATAGCTTCGTAAAATCAGGATAAGGTTTAATTTTTAGACGGAACATCGAAGCAATTTCTTCTACTATTACGGCGAAAATGAAAGGTTGTGTTTCTTGCGAAAATTATCAGACAATTATAAATACCGTGGAAATGAAACTCAATAGGAAATAGAGATATCGCACGGGAGAGCTATTCAAATGCAATAGGCTACTATTATAATTTCGAGGATATTTTAGCGGAATAGAAAGATAACTAGATTGTGGCAAGCCAATAATAGATTAAACGTAACAAAGTAACCACGATTCCAAGGCTATTATAGCTTTGTTTACGTGTATTCTTTTGATGAAGAAATTATATCTGTTAGTACATGTATATGCGCTTACTTACGAAACAGTTCCGACTATGACAGACAAGTCCTACCATTAATGTTAAATACGTGCTTGTTTTACAGCGTGTCTCTGAACCCTGATAAGATTGCGACTTACTTCCGCATAAAATACGAACGCTGAAGAATCGTTTGCGACTACTTCTGTAAAGCGTAACCGGATTTTCTCGCAGTGATCTCTGACGTAAGACACGCAAACACGTTCGAGTTATAACAAAGGAACCAAATCAATATTCGGATTTATTCGACAGTGTTAAGTAAATTGTTAAGATATCGTTTGACGGTAGAACTCAAATAATCTATACATATACACGTTCTAATATGAATCGCCAATGATGGTAGTAAGTAAAGTTAAGTAAGGTTGTTTCTGGCTATCCATTTAGAAAAAGCTAGCCAAGGCCATGAGGCAAATATTAAGGTAACTATATTGTTGTTACCTAGTAAATAGAAAATGTAAAATCAGATATATCAGATTATCAGATAGCAACGGTTAATTAATCAGCCATTAATAAATATTTTCCCTTACATAGGTAGCTTTCTCTAATAATACGGTAATACAATACCGTCGTACACTAGTGAATAGGGTCCGCTTAGACGTTAGACGACGAATTAAAAACATATACAGAGCATGCTTATAATTATATTAGAATATGAATCAAATATAGCAACGTATTTGTATAACGCTAGTGTAAAGTAGGCGACAACAACAACGACAACGTAAGTTGTCGAAGACCTAGAACGTACCTTAATCACAAAAAAATAGGAATATTCAAACACTCATGTGTTAATTCAACAATGTCTTATGCATAAAACATTTTCGATAATGTTTTGCATAGATTTTAGATATGTTGGAGGAAAAACATTTGTTGAAAAATTAACTTAAGGAATATTTTGTAGCTTTTTTTGTAGCTCAGTGGTGTGACATTAGCGCCAGAGTCATGAAGCCACTTTCAGATTAAGAAGCTTCTTATAGACACAATCGTACACGCAGCCCTTTCGTGTGTGTACACAAATCGTGCCAAGCCCCCTCAAACAATTAATCTACAGAATGGAATTACAGGCAAACGTCTCTTGCCGCAGACATCATAAGTGCATAACACTACAGAGCTGTAAAGTCGTCTAGATCGCCCCATGGCTTTTGCCATGTCATGAAAAAGGCTATGCAAAAAGCGTTTTGTTCTTGGGAAGTTAGGCACACAGTAAAAGCTGCTCCCTATATCCATTGAGTGATAGATCGTTCAAGTATCGTATGGCTCTAGAATCGGCGTATATGTGCTGGTATCGGCTCAACGAATCATTAGCTATAATAATAAGGTAGACTTCTATTGGAGTTATCTTAATGCCAATAATGCTCTAACAATACTAAAAAAAAGGCTTCTCCGAATTTTTGGCTTTCTTATTTAAATAATACATTGGTATACAAATAGTGGCTGTTCCTTGAATGGCCTGCTTTCTCTAATACGCGGTCAGCTGATGGTCAGTTGTCACATACCGTTGTTAAGCTACCCGCTTTTTCTGGACAACTTGATTGTTATTAGAGTTCAGGCTTCAAACGGTTTCAACAGTTGGAACAGATTGAAAATAGCATTTTCTTCTTCAGCGTCTTCTACCAAATAAAAAAGGCGCTGAAGCGAACCGGGATGAAAATGCTTACCTGGGTCAAAAAATGGTATCTTCGACCTAATAAACGCATTTCCCCTCCTATTATTATACTTAGACGTGAATCGTCTTGATTTTTGAAGAACAACAGCGATTATTTAGCGAGGATAATAAGCCTAGATATGCTGAGTCATTTTTAAAAAAAGATAGTAAGATAACTGTTAATCAATGAAGACGGTAAACCTACGGCCTGTTAGGTATAGGTGCATCGAAATAGGCGAAAGAAATATCCCGCGCTTTCTTGATATAGGACAAAACGTGATGCAAAGATTATCTTGTACGTAGAATTTTTTCAGAACTCGAGGAAAATTCGATAATCTACACAAGACCGCAACAATGGCTTTATTGAGCCGATTGGTAGAGGCTTCCTAACGGTATAGAACACTAAACACTAAATTGGAATTTACCGTATTTCAGTTACGATACAAGGGAAGCCGTAAACATTACTGATGGATGAACGTACAATTGAATTAATTTAAGCTCAATTCGTTGGTGGCATTTAGTACAAGCTTCAATAGATATTAATTGTAGCTTAAACAGCATAATGAACCAAAGCGTTATTTTTTTGATATTCTTTTTGATACAAGAGTGGCTGCGCCTGTCTCGGTAGAGCTTGAAGGTTCACAAATCTGCCAGAGTGATAGGCTTGAATTATATATACTGTAGGGTAATGGGCTGATGAAGAACTTCTTCTACGAGTTAGTGAACATAAAGCGTCTCAGCCTTAGCTAATCAGTATGGGAACTATTGGTTCTGAATTGTTTCAGTGTGGCCACTTCTCCTCTGAGAAATAGACAGGGTCTTTATAGTAACAGAAATATACTCGTTGGAAGTACTCTATTTACACATTATACGGCATGAAACTAGCAAGTTTTGCACTAAAGGCACTTGATAAATTATATAAAGTCCTACTAACACAAAGATTTATCTAAACAGATTCAGCCGCACCGCAGCTGAAGCACCACTCACCCGCATTGACAATTACCTCTTTGCTGGTAAAGCACGACCGGCTTTCTGTACAAAAGTAGTCAATTGCTCGTAACTAATAGACTCGCTAGAAAAGGAATCATATCATACTTTTAATATGCCGCCTTCGGCGCAATAATGTTAACCTAGAACAATCTGAAATGAAAGCAATAAGCATTTAGGAAAGACATCTTTTTAAGACGTTCTGTACTCGAAAGTTACTTTACTTAATCCAATAACTGTTTATTGGCTCTCGCTTTCAGGCACACTTATTGCTATGATGACGTCTATGAAACATCAAATGGCCGGTTCAATTTTTCACCAAGCTCTTCCTAAACAAAATCTGATATTTCGTTAAGGCATAATTATTAACCTTGCTATCAAAGCAAATACGTGCTATTTGCTTATTTGAGTTAATTACCTATAATAATAATAATATAGAATTTTGTTGTCGCGTCAAGCTGACGGCAAAGTGTCGGCCCAAAAAGGGTCCTCATTAGTGCCCACGGGGTCAACGTGCCACGACAGTTCTTCCCAACTTCAGGACGCGGTAGCTAGCAAACGTAATCAATGACTATAAGCAGTTCAGTCAACATCAGCTTCTTGATAAAAAGAAAACTTCGCTACGGTTAGGCACGTTAAGATTATCCTGGATACTTTAGTTAAAGCTTGGAAAAAAAAAGCATCGCGTTTTTGAGGCAACAGCAAGTGCCACAGCGGCCCTATATTCTCTCTATTCTGTGCCAATACTATCGCCAAAATCGTTAAAAAAAAAAGGCCATGTCACTCTGTCATAGAAAACCTAGGGCAAAAAGCAAGACAGTTTGAGAAAACCTAAAAGCTATAACTTTCCGAAAGACACATATTTGCGGGTTTGCGAATAGATGCATCATTTTAATCGAAATAAGGCACGACTATAGTTTTTAGAAAACATCACTTTTACGTTTAGTAAGCATTTTTTTTACCTGATTACGTCGCCTTTTCTGACTTACGCCCTCACGTGCGCGCGATAAAAATCATAAAACTTATACAGCAGACGCTGAGCGTTTATTCTCGTATGTTCACTGTTATCGTACGGTTACTTAGCCGTTTACTATATCTATTATATGTCCTATGGGATTGTTTACGTATCGCATTCCATATGTTCCAGCGGTCGACAGCTGCGATGGCGACTGACATCCGTTGGGCCATTGATTGCTACTAGCAGCAATAGAAACAGTTCGCCCTGGACCAGAGCGATACGAGGAAGCCTCCACTTTGCATTGTTGCAAGCGAATTAGAAGGATCAAACGTTAGACCCTATAAAGAGCGAAAACAACGCACTTCAATATATGTGTATAGTTGGCGGGATAGCTTGTCACCCCAGTAGCAGCAGCAAGTTATATCGTTACCAAATATTGACGGCAACGTTAGCGTAGAAGTATAGGCACACTATCCTACTATTGTAATAGTAATAACAAATCCATTACCAATTATATATATATATATATATATCGTACAAAGGAAGACACACGCTAGATGAAACGTGCTTTCCGGTGCAGCAATCTATAAATGTATCCACGTAATTTTTATGTAAGTTCGTCGTGTGCGTGTGTGTCTGTGGGATATGCAAATAAAAACAGATAACACATTTACGCGCCGTGATCGGATCTTCATTATACAACAGTTAATTACGTACCGTATCATACCAACATTAGTAATACTAGTGCAGTAAAACATTTTATGCGCAGGCATATATTCACAGTGTTGATGCAGTGATTTACCAAAACGTTAAAAGCCTTAAGGTTCCATTTTTAAATTGATTGAATTTGACCCGAACAATAAGGCAACCGAAGGAAGCGAGGGTCAAAATGGCGCTTCCATAAAAGTTCGTATACGAATTAGAGTAGATGTGAAGCTTGCGCCGCATCACTTCAACCGAACGGATACTTTACGTTCAATCCACTTGGCATTGAACAGAGTAATGACGATTTAACGAGACCAAACAAAAGATAAAATACTGTTGGTCACTGACGCGCCCTGGTGGTTGCCAATTAGGCGATTGTCAATAAGCGAGCCCTTATTTTTTTGTTAAAGTATTATCATATCCATGAATTGATGGTTTCGTGAATCGAAATTTTCCACCATGTGCGAGTTTTACCAAACATATGCCATGTTGCACCTGTCCATAAATAGCATTAATCCCACTTTGGTCATCCTAGTAATATTTAATAATCGTTCATTATATGAATTGTGAGCTCTTTTCATGTACATTGCAACATTGTTGCAATCTGCTTAAGTCACAATACATTGTGAGTACAAGCTGCGACAGTACAAAGGGGTACTATCATACGGGTTGTAAGAGATCCTTTGATTGTGTTCGTATCGCAGGCGGCTGGAAGACGATTAAAGTCCGTTCCGAGCAAGTGCGTCAACCGAATCGATTACGTATATGTGTTTTGACTACGGTGAATACAAACAAATAATTAGTTCTATGACCTACAAATCATCGACAAGATGATCTGTTACGTTTAACAGGTGACTACCACGTGGCAGTTGTACCGAGCGGCTGTAGCCTTATATCGTTTCAGACGGAATCTAAACGTATTTGTACGTATTTTGATATCATCAACCTGGAAATACTGGCTTGAAAAAGTGTTGACCGTCTTTCTTCCTAGATGCCCTTAAGGTTACATATCTTAGGTCAGATGCGTTGCGTCAAGTTATCCTTTGAAGGCTGAGATTTGGCAGTGAACTTGTTGGAACGCCTTCATCCAGATCTAATGTAGAGTGCCTCGAAGATGAGTGACATGTCGGCGAAAATTGATTCTATTTTGCAATTTTATTATGTCAACGGCACAACTACTGACTGGGTCCGTAGAAACACATGTGTACTGTTTGTGGTCAAGATGCGTTATCGGAAGAAACAGTCCAATTATGGTTCTTACGCCTTCTTTCCGGAAATTTCGATTTGGAAAATGCCCCTCATGGTCGAGCAGCGACGCAAAAGTTTCTAAAGAGAAGGATCACCGGTAATGAAAAATAAACCACATACGACAATAATGTGCAAATGAAAAAATATACTTGGAAATTCGTGGTAAAAAAGGTGATGGCATGTGTTTGGTGGAGTCGGAAATAAATCGTTAAATAAAATGAGTTTCTGCCGTGAGGCAAAAAGATTGATTCGGACCTCTGCTGTCAATAACTATTAAGATTAAATCGGGCAAAATCGGCCAGAAACAATGAACAGAGAAGACGTTGCTTTCCACCGTAACAATGCCGGACCACGTACACATTAAGCTACTCGGCAAGAACTGAGAGAACTTCGATGGGAAATTTCAACGTATCCGCCGTATACTCCGGATTTTTTTATTATCCGACTATGATCAGTTTTGGTCTTTGGAAAACTCCTTTAATGGAGTTAATTTGATTTGAATGGAGGACCGTAAAAATCACTTGTCACTATAGAAGTGACCGAATTTCTAGAGTGATGGTAGTATGACACTAGAAAAATGGCAGAAGGTCACTCACTAAAACAGCGCATATTTATTTAATAATATTATTTTACATTATACAACGTTCGGCATAATTTTGAAGCCAGTACTTCTTTGACAACCCAAAATTCGCTTTCATAAAATACCATAGGAAAGATCTGTTATCCTAGAAAGAAAATTTTAAATAAATAGAAAATTTTTAAAAAAGGCAGCTTGATTAACTAATGACCACTATGGCAGAACAAATTTGATGAAGCACTGAGCATCGTCTGAGTTCATAAACCGATATTTGTTGATGGAACTTTCACTATTCAAATCGAGGAGACTCCTTCAGTTAGTATCATTTCACCGAAATATGATTTTATTGCTAATTAGTAATAGGGGTATCTGATATTTACTTGTGTCATTTTTACCGTACAACTTAGGCCGGCCATACATTTCGATATAATCTCAATAAACGTAAAGACAATCTTCGAATGTTAGTTGACACTCACCTGTCGAACCATTCAATAAACGAAGCCAGAATATATATATATACGTATATCCAATAAAGCTGCTATAGCCCACACTGGTGGGTTTCAGCATGCCCAGACTTGTTCTTAGTTAATAAATGAATGTATACAAATCATCAGTTCATAAACATAATTAAAGTGGTATGAACGTTCTGTGCTAGTAACATAATACGATTCTTGATTTAATTTACTTTGGTACGATGAAATATAAACACAATATCATGTTGTATCTAATTAGCAATACTAGTCCCAGCAATAGAAAATGCGGCACATGATTGTGATCGTTGATGACGACACTCGCGATGGAAACATTAAGTCAAACGTGCACCCAAAAGAGTTCACCCATAAGCACGCACCTTGTAAATTGCTGAATTATCGAGTGAGTGTACGTTACGGTTAATAATAATATACCACATATAAAAAAAAATTGGCGATTTTCATCGCAATAGAGGGAAAAAAAAACGAATCGTATAAAACAGTTACTTCTATGATATCATCCTGCGAATGTTCATATCGGACTCAAGATCTGTTCCAGTTCATTACGAGATACGGTGACGCATGTAGCTAGTTTTAAATTACTGTTAATCTCTGCAACGAACAAAAATATGGTCCTGTACATTGGAAATGCCCAGTTTGCCATCGGCAATTGATCACCGGGTATCGACTCAAATGCACGAAAATCGTCTAGTACTTAGTAAACTTTTTCATTCATCTTCAATTCATGTTTATTCAAAAACAAACAATACGCTTACGCGGACAAAAGGGTGATTGTATGGCTCGCTTCTAGCCGTTCTCCACCGTAAATTAGGTCGCGAATGCCGTCTAAAAGAGCATCGGAACGCACCAGACGTGCATCCTACTTCGTTAACTTAATGTCGTACGTTTACCTTGAAGGTAAGGCTGACACGAGGTCTCCGTTCGAGTTGACCGCTGGATCTCCAAAACAGAATTAGGTTACAATCGTTGGAGTAGGACGCATTTTAGAGAATATATTAAGTGATTTGCACAGCCCAAAAGAAGATTGGGCAACTAAGAGTTGCCTCGGACCTTGGAACCTAAGCTGGTACAATGACAAATTTCTGACGCGTTTGCCCTTTTCAACTCAAAGCGGACACTATTTGTTCAATACTATACCACCACTGCTGTGAATACCGCACAGCCCCAGGAGCTCTAGACAAAAACTTAGAACTGAATGGTCCAGTGCTCTAATGCTTCTACAATTCATCTTTGTCGTTAATCCATGCAGTGTTCTACCTCTGCCAACCGGTTTTTCTGCAAGAAATATTACATGAAGATGTTCCCGTTAGCAAAGTGATACAACACAGCGTCCATTTTGATCACAATTATTGTATGGCAATGAGATTCTTGTAAAATATAACTATGGATAGGTATGAAACGATGGTGGCAAATCGCAACATTATGGTTTATAACATAAATGAAAAGCTAAACTATCGTACCCTCAACAGACGGTTACTGAATATGATTTAGCATTGCCTTTTAATCGATTTCAGTGTTGTAGCAAATTGTCATTACCGCCATTTATGCACGTCTACCATTGATTTAGCGCCTTAAGTATTTCTTGTGTTGACGCTTGTTTTACAGTTCTCAGCGTCATTTTATTCCAAATTTTAATTGCGTTTTATCAGTTCTTCATAGGAAACGCGTCGATGTTTTGCTAGCGGCATGGATTATTCAATGGCCCTTAAATGTTATTTCTCCAAGGTGTTTCAATGCAATAGTTAGCTGGTTGTTTTTAAATTAACAGATTTTATGCATACAATTTTATCATTTTTTCCCACCATCTTCAATGCCACTGAACAGATAGCTGACCCGTGCTGTCTTTTATGGTTTTTGTCTATGAAGCTTAACAGATAAAATTTGTTTAAGGCGATATTATCGATTTAAAGAAAATCATATAAACATCATTTAGAATATATATGATAATGCTGAAGTTTAACGAGAGAGCAGAAATATCCGTTCAATCTATCGTTCATCATACGTCACACCAAGTCAACGGAAATAAGACTGATTCCTTCTTAAGACAAGTTTGATTCGTGCTTGAGGCGGAACACTTTTCCAATAGTAGCGACCTAAAATTATTATATACAATTGACTTTTTAAAAAGATAGATGATAAGCAGTAGTTCTGGAACTTGGATTAATAGAAATTTTACTTGCTTCGTGCTCTTTTTCTCTTTCGGGAGCGGATCAGAGCTCAACTTCTGGGGGTCTGATTTCAATGGAGATTCGATTAGTCATAATCTACTGGTTTGCTTTCAGTCTTTTTGAAATTCACCGCGCTAATTGGATTGTGTAGTCCATCTTACCGTTTCTTCCATCTGAATGTAGTATTTTGACTAAACGTAGATGCCTTTATCAAATCGAATATTTGCAGCAACTGACAGGATATTCAATACTGTACTATCTATGATATCGTTCATCACACATTCCTGTATAATATTATATTTATAGTGCCGCACACGCGGTACATCATGGTCAGTCGGCACCGATGAATCTCATAAGACATTTGCGTAAATCTAATGCTCGCAGAACAAGTTCCGTTTGCAACGTCACAACGATCCAGGCAGAAGATACCCGCTAATTCTCATTGGCTCACTGTGCTCCAGAAATACAAACCGTCTCCCTTTTCATTCAGTGTTGTTTTTTGTTCTCGTTTTGGACTGCCCAATTATAGTCCATGACTCACTCGCATGCGTTATTAAATAATTTTTAATAACTTATGAGGTACAACCTGCGTGAATTTATTCTTCAAATTAGTTAAATAGTTATGTGTCTTGATCTAGGTAATTGTGACGCGCCGCCTGAGACGTACAAAATCAGAGTGCAATAAACATGATTAGTTATTATGAGTGCGGGCTTTGTACGGTACCAGCCCTGTGTTGTCTTTTTAGCCACGACAATATGGGACAACAACCCCACTGTGAATACTTGGGGGGTGCCACCTCAACAAGAGCACTACTAAGAAATTCTGCTTTTGTTGGGAGAGGGCACTACCACTGCTCTTTCCGGGATCTCTTAACATTTGGATGTACAATTGGTTAACACCATTCAAAAAGAGCTCATTGGTTTGTTTTCAGCGATTGGGAGTCGTGTCGTGTACGATCAATATGGTGAAAGTTTTGAAAGCGAGATCGCAAAAAGCGCTAGGCAAGCTGCATAGGGACATCTCAACGAGCAATTCTGCGTTGACTCAGACTAGGCTTCAATTTAAGCCAATAATTAAATTTGAAATTGAGGATAGTAAGCGATCTAGTGTTCTCATAGACTGTTTGCCACGAATTCATCATCATTCGCGAGTGAAGTCTGATTTGGAGACGCTGACCGCTGATCTGATTGTAAATGCAATTGCTGAAAACGAAGAAGTGCAAAAGCTAACATCCAGTTTGGCGGCAGCCTCCGGCAACTCTCAGAAGGATGTGATCAGCAGGGTTAAAAAGGAGGTGTCTGAAGTAGCTGTGGAAGACCTGATAAGTGTCAAGCTTGAAAAAGAAGATTTAGAAGATCTCGACCCTACGAAGCAGCTGAAAAATGCTACAAGGCAAACGAGCGAACTAGCAGGCGAGAAGCGTCATCGAGCAGCAAGATCGAATGTGGAGCGACCCTTTGAATGCAGTTTCTGTGAGAAAGCGTTCAAGCGTCGAGCGCATCTACAGACGCATGAAAACGCTCACCGTGGAATCAAGCCATTTAAATGTAAGCACTGTGACCGAGCGTTTACCGATCGTAATGCCCAGGTTTGTCATGAACGCCTGCACGATGGCATCAAGCCGTACGCGTGTGAAGAATGCGGCCGAAAATTTACTCAGCGATCGGACTACGTTAAACATTCACGCACGCATACGGGGGAGCGGACGCATCAGTGCCGCTACTGCGATGCCAAATTCATTGGCAGCAGTAACTTAATCGTTCATGAGCGTGGACACACGGGCGAACGACCACACAAATGCGATAAGTGTAAGGCGACATTCAGTAAACACGGCGACCTGACCAGGCATCAGCGGATCCATACAGGTGAACGTCCTTACGAATGCAAATATTGTACCGACCGTTTCACACAACCAGCGCACAGACGAGTCCATGAAATGGCCCATCTAAAAGTCAAACCCCATAAATGCCGCTACTGTAGCACCTCGTTTCTACGGATCGGTGATCTCAATAGGCACGAAAAACGACACCCCCAATTTACAGGGACCCTTAAGAGGCGGAACGAGATTAGTCGTGTGAACAAAACAGAAATCGAATCAGATAGAGCAGAAAGCCAATTAGAAAAGGTGATTTTGGACGAAGATAGTAACTCGGAGGAGCCCAGTTCAGACTGAATGCTTCGTATTTGGTCCTATGGCCCTGATTACCAAAAACAGTGGCACAATTTCTGCGATAATATGCGATGCATGCCCGTAGAGATAATGCAACTACTGATTTGTACTAACCGCTGACGCACAATTATTTTTGCTCTGATATTTAATGCAATAAATGTATTATATGTATTGAAAAAATATTCAGCATATTGATCCAAATGTATGTTAGCCGTAGCCGTACAGGTAGGGTAACTACTATTAGTCGAACATGGATACTATTTTATGATAGTATTAATTTTTTTCAGGTAGAATCTGATATTCTTGTGAAAGCAATTTACCTAACACGGCGCATAGAGCTTTTAGCTTTCATATAAACAAGGCTAGGTCCTGATTATTGACATCGCAGACTCTTTAAAAAAGCTCTATTGGGAAACGTTGCGTGTGGATGAGCTGCTCGTAATAGATACACAAAACGTACCAGGATTTCAGAGAAAATTGTATTCGAATCGATACGGATAGGGTATTATAGATGTTTAAAGTTTAGTAAGAGTCATTTTACATAGTCACCCGCCGGCCAATCCATGCGGGAAACTTAATGTCGACTATCTCGTGCAAACCGCATAATAAGTACAAGCGCCTCGTGAAGAAAAACAGTGCAGCGACATCTATCTAATCATACATGCGTCTTGTATGTAGACCCGTTGGCCCTAGAACAGTGCCGAGATCAACCAGCATTTGTCCTATGCATGAGTGACAACATTCATCGAAGTGCAATCCGGGTCACTAGTGTTAGTTCAAATAATGCCTGATATTTCTTCTCTTGTTTTCTCTCGTTTACGTATATAATTTTTTGATGATTTCTAACACAAAGTTTTCGTAAATTTCGCAAGCCAATTTAAGCGAGCTTTTTGAAAAACTATATAATAAGACCCAGAGACTCTGGGAGAGTAAATGACAAGCAGTTACTTAGCCTACTATAAGCTCATTATGTTTATAAAAAAAAGGAATTCAAAATTGATATTTGAGGACGAATGGGATATTTACAGGTATAGGCAATCAATGTTTGCCCACGACAGCAAACTCCCTTGGGACTCTACTTTAATAAGCTAAAGGAGGCATTTATTTTCTAATGCCGGAATTGGTGATATTGAAAAGCCTAGCATTTCTTAATGTATATTGCGAGTAAAGGGCAAGACAGTTTCTTCATGTATTGATCTGCATTTATCATGCCCACTACCAGCACATAATTCTATATATAATGATATGTGAATTCAAATTTTGAATGATCCATTTTGTCAACGTCTATCTTTGTGGTCAAAGTCTATCCGATCCATGTTATCAGGATTAAATATAGTTTCAAGCAGACGCGAATAACATTTGCTGACGCTGTCACATCAGCAGTGCAGTCGAATTCAATCAAGAGCAGAATTTGATCGTACAACACCACATCTGACCATCGTATTACGTCAAATAGATCATATCTATCTCCTATGATTTTGTGGTCTTAGCAGACGGGACGTGCCGGCTGCTCACTCGGCAGTAATTCGAATCCAGTTAAATGCGGGATTAGGCGGGCACGTTTGGCGTGGCCAGTGAAGCGCGATTTCATTGAAATCGATGAATTATTCGGAAGACGACGTTTGTTTACGTAGATATATGCAGGGAGCACAGAAAGCGGCTACTGGCAACCGTGAGCGCCAGTCTGTCCTTGCGTGTCTGAAGTAAAATTGAGTAGGAAGAGGTGAAATAGGACAAGGCATGTAAATACGTCTCGCACGATCTCGTGCCGACGACAGTGGTACCGTAGCTGCACCATTCCTCTAGTTTTAGTTGCTTCTACCATTACGTGGCTATCTAAAGTAACCCGCAGAGTCGAAAGAGACAACAAATTCATCACATTAAAGATAATAGCAAATAGGGTATTTTTGCGTCTAACTAGATGAACGCGAGAATGCTTTCGTGACAACAAGATAGATCGCCAGCGCTAGACATAATGGACACACAGGTATTAATATTCACAGTTATGGCGATTCGCTTGACTTCTCTGGTAAAACGTGCTCCTTTAGTGCTCGATTCAGACCTGGACTAATACAATTATCTCTGTTCATCAACATACCTGATGAATCTACAGTAGATAGATAGGGTTGCTCACATTTCCTCTGCCAAAACAACATCAAATCGTCTGACGCGATATAAACGCTGTAAGTGGCGATAAGTATATTGAAACATCGATACATTGTGTACCATGGCAGTTCGTAACTTGTGCGCTTTTCAGTTGGTTCGGTTTACGTTGCTGTTACGGCTGCTTTTGATGCTGTCACCATTTGTATGCATTGTACAAAAACATTGGACATTGTTGGCACGACTGTTACTGCAGATCCGTCACGGACCTAGAATTGAAACGCGACTCGGCGGCTCTGCTAATATTGTAGCAGGCCATTAGGGTAACCCTCATTAAATTGCAACTGCCTTATTTCCGGTTGATTTAGCTGCCGCTGCATTTTCATCGGTATCGCGATCCGTTTTCGCTGTTATATACATATATGGGATATAGCGAGTGAGTTCGTAGGCGCTTCCCCGACATTGATGGTATATGAACAGAACCGGCAAAATTGAGTGATTTTTTTACTGCTGAATTTAGAGCCGCAACAGCAGCAGCCGTACTCCTTGACTATCGGCGATTTGGAAGCGATACGTTGAAGAGGCATCTGATTGGATCAATTTTTTTTGTTGGTTACAAGTCGGTTTTTCAGTCTGGTTGCGATTTTTCGAGTACTATTAACAGGAGAAGATGCACGGGGCTTGCTAGTTGGGAAATGATGTGGGTTGTAACGTGTGCGGGAACACAGGGCACTCGTCGTGATCAGCAAAGGAGTGATAAAATACTGGTATACTATCCAGACGCTACATGCCATTCGTTTTACATTTGCTAACTGACGACCTGTCAGAAAGAAACGAGACGAAAACAATATCAGCATCCAAGTCTCCACAGGCACACATATACACAGTCAAAGACACAGCTAGTGTAGAAATCAAGCGCGCGGTCAGCGGTGGCAACCGCGGCCGTACCAGCGACTGCGGCGCCCCATACGACAAGAGCTACGACGTTGAAGCGGGGTCGTAATGGCTTTTCTTTTTCAGTCATTCGCTCGTCGATAAGAAGTGACCAGCGCCGGGCACTCACGCGGCCGCTGCTAACGCCGCAGCTGCGGTTTTGGTGTTCCGTTTCGTCCCCTTGTAGTGTTTTGTTCATGTGTCGTGTGTTTTGATTAGTATTATTATTTTTTTCTTTTAGAGTGCTGTCTACGTCTGTTACATCTTTAAAGTCGAGCGTGACCCAAAAGTTATCTCTATCGGTGTTAATCTGTGCTCACCCTGAGTTCCGTAAGAAGTTACAAGAAATTCGTCACATTGCCCGTATCTGTGGAATACGCATCGGTGGATAGTACTGAAATCGTTTTGCTACAGCATCCTTATTCACGAATGGTGCAGTCGTTTGAAAAGTTTTTTTTGTTTGTTATTGATCGTCGAGTCGCATTATCAGTAGCAGCGGTGTACTATAGAGGCTGCTTGTGTAATAATCATACTGGCCCAGAATAGGATACTGGCCCAGAATTGGGGTGGAAGCAACACTTGTAAGAGTGTGCTCGAGAATCTTCTTGGAAATTAACACATACACAATTAGCCCCGTAATGCGTCCTCTACCGCGTGTTTTAATCTGTTCAGTGCCATCGATCTTCTGTTACATTTATGTAGCATCTTTCCTTCTGGGTCCATCACATCAAAGCGGGCTTTTCAAAATTTATCTACTGAGTAAACTCGTTCTGAAGAAAGGACCAACACTTCTACCAATTCCGATACCTATCAAGATTCCACAAGAACCGAAAATTGTAAAGGTTCCAGTTATGCACACCTCCCAGCACGTGCATATTCACTACCACAATCCGCCGCCTCATCAAACATCGATCTATCATTACGTGCCGCAGGCTGAAACCGTTCACAGCGAACTAATCAAAGAAGGTTTCTCAACTACAGACAGTATCGACCACGATCATATAACAAAAACTCATGTTGAGCATGACTATACGGGACACTCGATATATCAATACGACGCTGAAGATCTACATGGAAGCACGCAACCTTTGAGCTGGCCTCACGCTTCAACTTATTTTTCACCGGAAACTCGTCAAGTACTAGCCTGACCTTAGCTTTACAATATGAAACACAGTACGAAAACACTTGCACGTCGCTGTACAATTAGAAAATGGGTTACTTAACATATGCGAAAATCGTATGGCCCTGGATAGCAATTACTTAGAGAATTTTTTTGCTTCTGCAGGTCAGAGCACGGGAAACGATTCCATGCCCTGCCACAATAATTACCCTAGATTAATTAAGGCATTCTGTGCCTTTGTTTTCACATCAATTATTGGTCAAATTACATCAGTTATTGAAAAAATCACATCAATTATTGATGTGCCTCGTAGCTAGTTATTAGGTATAGCAACGAGATTTTTTTCGAAACTTTTTTTTCGAAACTAGAACCCTTTACAGCTATGTAAATGGCAAACCTGCCTAATCCATGGTTCTGGTCAAAAATATCAATTAGTGGTTTCGAAACGTGATCACCTTATTGGCAGCTGTAGCAGTTGAATGATTTTCAAAAAGCAGAGACAATATTAATACGGCATTGACCAAGAACGACGTTATTGAGTCTCAAGGCAGTAAAATTACTGAAAAAATCTATGTGCAATCGATGAAAGTTTGCCTGTTGAAACAGGAGCACTCACAGTAAATCTTTGGACGGGTCGTGTAGGGCATAAATAAATGGCCGAAAGGATTTGGGTAGACGTCGGCAAATGCGCACAAAGTATCTGTTGAGAAATGGACATGTGCGATATAAAAACCTAGAAAGTTTTATTTAGAAGCTAAATCTAACTGCTCTTCCAGATATATCCAACATAACATCCTGTTGCAAAGTTCCGTTACTTCATTGTGACATATTGCGTACATATGCGCAAGCTGGGTAATTACCAAATCGGGCTAGCTAAGCGGTAGCTCTTTGACTTAGTCATTTCAAGCAAA